CACTCCGTCTTACCGTAAGGCGTGGTTAGCAAAGACTAAGGCGATTGAAAGGGTGTACGGAAACTGGGAGGAGTCATACCGAGAACTTCCCCGCTACCTAAATGCACTCAAGACATATTCTCCAGGTAGTGTTTATGTTCTGGAAACATTGCCAGCGTACGCTCAAGATGGTAGTCTACTACATGGCAACGGAATATTCAGTCGCGTCTTTTGGGCTTTTCAACCATGCATCGCAGGGTTTGCATCATGCAAACCAATTCTACAAATAGACGGGACTTGGTTGTATGGGAAGTACAAAGGCACGCTTTTGATGGCAGTTGCACAAGATGGCAACAATAACATTTTCCCCGTTGCGTTTGCCCTTGTCGAGGGGGAGACCGGTGGTGCTTGGAGCTTTTTCCTGAAAAATCTTCGTACACACGTGGCTCCTCAACCAGATCTCTGTTTGATCTCGGACAGACATGCCTCCATTGAAAGTGCCTATAATAATCCGGCAAATGGTTGGCATGACCCTCCTTCTACGCATGTCTATTGCGTCAGGCATATCGTCCAGAATTTCTCGAGGGAGGTCAAGGACAAAACATTGAGGAAAGCGGTGATGAATGCGGGATACGCACTGACACAGCCCACATTCAAATATTACCGCAACGAGATCCGTTTGTCTAACCCAGAAGCCGGTACGTGGATCGACAATATACCGGTCGAAAAGTGGACTAGGTCATACGACAATGGCCAAAGATGGGGGCATATGACAACAAATCTGATTGAATCAATGAATGGGGTATTCAAGGGCATACGAAACCTCCCCATCACTGCCTTGGTGAAATCCACGTATTTTAGGATGGCTGCGTTATTTGCCAAAAGAGGTGAAATGTGGTATGCGGTCTTGCAATCAGGACAACTATGGAGTGAAAGCTGTATGAAATACATTAAGGCTGAAAGTGCTAAAGCCAACACTCACATGGTTACACGGTTTGACCGCCATAGCCACAACTTCATTGTGAAAGAGACAATTGACCACAATGAAGGCCTGGCAAGACAAGAATACAGGGTCATTTTACCTTCTCAATGGTGCGATTGTGGCAGGTTTCAAGCTTTTCGTATGCCTTGCTCTCATGTCATTGCCGCTTGTGCGCATACCCATCAAGACGCGCTTCAACTGCTCTCAAACGTTTATAAATCTGAAACGTTGCTCACTGTTTACAACAACAACTTTCCTTTGGTGGCAAAACCGGACTATTGGCCTGAATACAACGGTGATATAGTTTGGCACAATGACCAAATGCGAAGGAACAAGAAGGGTCGTCCCAAAAGCAGGCGCATAACAACAGAAATGGACGATCTTGACAGGTTGGAAAGAAAGTGTGGTTTATGCCGTCAGGTCGGACACAATCGCAAAAACTGTCCGAATCGGGCGTCTGGCTCGACCACATAAATTTTGTAATACAATAAATCTTTTCAATATTTGTGTTGTAAACATTATGGGTTTTCCGTTAATAAAACTGTTCACACAATTTAAGAAATTCAATATAGGAAATTACATTAGGGTTTTCGCGTACAACAATGATTAACGATAATCAATATAGGAAAGTACATTAGGGTTTTCGCGTACAACAATGATTAACGATAATCAATCTAGGAAATTACAACTGTTAACACAATTTCATCTGACCCATGCATCATCAGCATTACATCACTGTCTGTTTTGACTTCCTCCAACCACACATTAGGTCTTCCTGTCGCATGCGAGGTTGTTGTTCGTTTTCGCTGGATCCTTCGAATTTTTCCCCCTCGGCGATGTCTCCATCTAGCCACCGCATCAACTCCCGCTTCAGACGCTCCATGGAGTGAATGTGCCAGAATTTCATTTTCATCGCGGGTTTCGTGGCGGAGAATATAACGTAACCATCTCTGCTAAAAATCATAGGCGACGTCATTACGTAAATAAGGGAGTACAAAATAAAAATACAGTGCGAGAAAGTGTGAGAAATTTCAAAGAAACGGACGAATTATTTATAAAACAGCAAAAAACCCTAGTTTTGCCCTAGGCGCCAAGTGAGATGGCGCCTCCTCTCCTTTTTAAGGAGCATGCGCCATCTCACTTGGCTAAAAGCCAATGGAGGCGCCAAGTGAGATGGCGCCTAGGGCAAAACCCTAGGTGCATGCGCCAAATGACTTGGCTCCTCCTTTGTGGAGCCATCTCAAACATGGTTATTTGCGTAATTTTTTCCGAAACCCGGTTATTTGCAAAATATTTTTTTAATACTTGGTTATTAATAAAAAAAATTCTAATTTTAAATCATATGTAATTTTCCAATAAGTGGAGAATACATACCTTACTAATTTTTCCATAAGTCCACGCCGAAAACAGTTACGAAAAATTAGTAATTTTCACCCACACGATTCAATTGAATAACACCATGACCAATTAATTGAATAATGGAATAATTGATCTTCCCTTTTAGAGTGAAAATAAAAAAGGGTTTGTAAGAATCGATAGATAGACAAAACATATCTAAAGTTTACACCAGTATTATTACATTGAGAATTTACAAAATATTTGAAGACTCAAACCTTAGGAATGTATAATTTCAAATAGAATACAATTCTCAAATAAATCAATCACCAAATATTTATAAATTTAATTTGATCATTCAAGATTAAAAATTAAGAATACATATAGGCATTAGTTAAAGCAACATTTTACTTTATCAACTTTCTAAAAAACATTATTTGCTTCCAAATTCAATGGCTAATATCAAATACACGGTCTCACTATTTTGATGAAATCAGTGATACAAATATCATAGAAGAAAGATGTTTTTAATGGTTGTGGTTAATTGAAACTTTGTCTGCTGAAATGAGATTGTAATTGAGTCTTCATTTTGACAGGTTGGTGTAACTGGATTTTGCATGGGATTGCTCTTGCGAATGCAACCTCTATTTTAGTCCCACATGATGATGTTGTGGTGGCATTCTATAGAGTTACTTCCTCGCAACTTGCAGGCCATGCTCAAACCAAAGCTTCTGTTCAGGATCAATTTAGAGATTTGGATAATTCTTTTGGCTTTTCATATGTTACGATATGGGAATTTGTTTGCACCACTCAACGTTAATCGTGTTTGTATCTTGAAATCCTTTTTCTGTTATATAACTTCTATTTCAATTTATATTAGTACTTTCTTTTGTTTTTTATGGGACCATACAGACAGAACTTGCCCCCCTTGATTATAAAGGTCTTTATAAGGTAATGTGGTGGAAATTTTTTTTGTAAATATTGTTCAATTTGATGATGGAGTTTTCTTTCTTTACCATTGGCACAACTTTCAGGCCGTTGGAAAAAGCTCTTTTTCGGGCTCATGTTGAAGGTTGCCTTGAGTTCAACACAATAGTTTGTAAATTCACAGTTTAATTATCCTTGATGCATCTAAATAATAATTGTGAGAGAGTTTCTTTTGATTACAACCAAAATGATTTTTAAGCAAAAGAATAAAATGGTTATTCAATTTAATTTATGAAAAATTTGAGTGGTGTGCAGTCTATAGAGTTGTGGAACATGCCTGAGAACAAGAGTATGACAATTCATGCACATGTGAATGTGATATCTACATTGCCCTAGTCTCCTATCACCCGAATGGTTGTTATTGACTTGTAGTTAGTTAGTTAGTTTCTTAAGAGTTTGTTAGAAATGTTGATGCACAAAGACAATCTCATCCTGAATTGTCATCTATGAATTATATCACTTTTTATGACATTTCTTTATTACATTTCTTTTATAAAGTACAAATTTTGAATTTAAAACTACAAAAACTTATTTTTCACTTTTATTATTGTTTATTATTTATTTGAAATATTTTTAATGTATTTAATTTTATTTGGTGATGAGAAAAATAAATACGATAATAAATAGTATATTGTTGATTCAAAAAAAAAATTTAATGTAAAAAAAATATTATTCATTCAAAATGTTTTTATAAATTATGTATTGACTTCCTATCATTTCTTTTTTATATTTAAATATATTATGTTGTCATTCAAAAATAATATATTTATAAACGGAAACAAATTTATTATTGATTTAAATATTTTTATAAATAATATTAAAATAAAAATAATATTTATATGCGGGTAAAAATATATTATTGTTGAAAAAAGTGTATATGTGACAAAATACGCGTATCTGACCAGAACTCGTGCGTACGCACGAGTTTGTTACTAGTTGATAGATATAACTGAATCGAATAGATATAAATTATAATATATTATATTATTATAGAATAATCAAGAATAATATGAATGTCATAACTTTGAGTATTCTATAGATTGTCGATGTATTTTTTAGGATTATAAAGATTGTCGATGAAGATAGTGAATATGAGAGGATTAATACTCTCATTGTCATCTAGATTTTCAGAATGTATATTAATTGTTTAATGGAACAACTCTTAAATAACTAAACAATTGAAAATAGAATCACTCGTTGAACTTAACTGAACGGTCTAATTCATCACAGTTCATTCAGAAATAAAACTTAATTAAATAATTCATCAATAATTAATACTTAATAATAATTAACTATAATATAGTTAATTTAATAATTGATTACATCAATTCATATTATTTAATTAAATAATTAATCTAACAGAAGAAACCTCATCAGATAAGAAATGATGGAGAATAAGATTATAACTTGATCGGATACAAAATATGTTTTTCAGAAGGGTAACATAACAATTTTGTCAATAGAAAAAATGAACTTACCTCTACAAGAGTTGTGACAGGAGCAAAACAGCAAGAAATGATCACTACCTTCATATAAAAGCCATAGTGTTTACTAACTTCTATCTAATTAAATACGATAAATTATAATAGTTTACAATATATATTACACAACATTTCATCCTCATATAACGCTCGAGCTAGTGTACATAAAATCTTGATACTTTATACAAAATATAAATTCTTCATGAATTTACGACGTAGTTTGAAAGGGAGACGATTTAACTTTGTCCCCCTAATAGACCTCTACTACCAGGAATATCCACCCATTCAATTTCCACAACCAATTCACCACTCTCAATATTTCTCAATTTTAGAAGCATTTCTTGGACTACTTTTCCATCTTTCAAAATACATCTACTCTCTTCGGCAAGACAATTAGTCCTACTTGGTTGAACCGTCTTGATTGCACAACCATCTGGAAGAGTATCCAACTTCATTTGTACAGCATTAGCATATGGTAGCAAGTCTATGTCTGCATCACCCACTTTGTCATCGAGAGAGAATGTGTCTTTGTCAAAAACTGTCTAGAGACCAACAAAATATTCACATTATCAATCATAAACTTTTAAATTAAAATTTAATAGCTATTTTATCCTCTGTTATATACGTGTGTTTTGAAAAATCTCTATATAAAAAAAAATTTAAAAATTTCTCTGTAATATGAAGATTCTCCTATTTAATTCACACAAAAAATTTAAACATTTTTAATAATAACATAGCAAAGAGTTTTTTGAAAATCGTTATTTTGACAAGAGATTTTTGAAAAATCGTCAATTTGACAAGAGACAACATATATATAAATCATTAAAAACATGAAACAAATTACATGAAATTCAATAAATTACTAAAAGATAAATTTTTTGAGGGGACAAAACGGAGGAATAAAAAAAAAATTTAAAACTTTTTTTTATGAAGAGTTTTTCAAAATAAATATTAATCCTTAATTCAAATATAAATGTGAGCTAGTTTTCTTACTATATGTATTGGAGTATGAACATCCTTTATTGAAAGGGTTAGTTCTTCATTCCACACAGGGTTGCAATTGTTTTTCACAACACTAGTCCTCAGCTTCTGCAACTGTACAAAACAATAATTTTGATGAACATGAAACACCTCTGATCCTAATCAAAACACCTTCAAAGATGAAAAAGATTAAGGTTTGGAACCTCTTCACCCATTTTGACAACAACATAAGGGTCGCTAGAAATAGAATCACGAATTGCAATATTAATTCCTCTTTTGATACGTAGTTTGAGAAGACCAAGAATATTATCCATCATCCATGAATTGTCTTCCCATGTTGTCTCGATCATTATGAAGTTTAAGGAACTTGTTTGGGAGGATTAAAATAAATCACAAACGTTTGAAAACTTAAAACCAAAAAACAAAAATAATCCTACTAAAGGAATCTTAGTACATAAGGTAAAAGAGAGAAAAGAAAAAGAAAAAGAAAAAAAAAACAAAGTGGTGATGCCGACCATAGTTTGGATTTAGCAGGTAGCAAAAATATTTGCGATCCATGTTGCATCCAACATGTTCTCTCTCCTCCTAGCCTCTTCTATAGCTACATACTTGCTGGATCGCAAATAATATATCCATCTTTTATTTTCTTTTCAAAACAAACATTTCTAGAGCTTTGCCTAAGGAATGACTTTTAGAGATATTGTATAATTCGGACAACAACTTATAAATTTCATGAAATTTTGTATAATGTGGGTCAAGTAAATCAATTATTTTATTATTATTTGTTAATGTATATTAATTTTTACATTTTTTTTTCATAATTCAATATCATATTTGCATCGAAGCTTGTTTGTTTCTTGCAACAGATTAAACATATTTTTTTAGAGATGAAAATGTATGGCTTGGAATATACTATTGGTGCAAGATAATGAAGTGGGAGAAGAAGAATGAACAAAGAATGATAACAAGAAGACTATTGTTGTATATCAAAATAGAGGAGATAAAGTAGAATACAATATTGATAGTCTAGGATAACATATTTATACTAAATATTGAAAATGCCAAAAGGCCCTATTAAAGGATAAGCATTGAGAATTGTAGAAATTAACTAAATTATCTTTCCAATACCATCCCTTAATTTAGATTTTCTATCAGAAGCTAACAACACCAATTTTATCTCTCAAGCGAAGAAATTGGTCTGTCTTAACTGCCTTCGTCAGAAGATCTGCTAGCTATTTCTGGGTGCTGCAGTGCATAACTTCTAACACCCTTTTCTGCACTTGACTTCTGAGAAAATGATACTTCGTCTCAGTTTGCTTGCTTCTTCCATGTAGCACTAGATTCTTGGTAAGATCAATTGCAGACTTATTATCAATCATCAGCTTCAGAGGTTCCTCAACTTCAACCTTCAGATCATGCAAGAGATTCATAAGCCAAACAACTTGACAAGTAGCTACAACATCTGCGATATACTCAGCTTCACACGTTGACAGAGCCACGACAGGCTGTTTCTTGGAACTCCAGGAAATGGGACCTCCCAGAAATTTAAACAAGTATCCAGAAATACTTCTCCTGTCCACTCTGTCTCCACACTAGTCAGAATCAGAATAACTTACTAATTCTGGTTCTGTCTTTCTTTCAGAAGGAAACAACATTCCATGTTTTAGAGTTCCCTTGATATATCTCAGAATTTTGACAGCAGCTTGAAAATGAGACCACTCTGAATTACTCGTGAATCTGCTAACTAATCCAACTGCATAACAAATGTCAGGTCTAGTATTGCATAAATACCTTAGAGAACCAACCAACTGTTTGAAGGTTATAGTATCAACATAATCACCATCAGAGTCAGAATCTAATTTTTGATTGGTTTCTGATGGTGTCACAATAACTTTATAATTCTACAGCTTAAATCTCTTCAGAAGTTCAAGTTCGTACTTCAACTGATGCAGAATGATACCCTTCTTTGAGTACATAATCTCCATCCCTAGGAAATATGATATTTCCTAGATATGTCATCTCGAACTCATTCATCAGAACTTCTTTATATCTTCTGGGCAGCTTCCTGTTAGCAAAATGTCATCAACATAGAGACACACCAGAATCATATTGTTATCAGAGTGTTGCACATAAATGCCATATTCCATCTCACATTTCTGAAACTTCTGCTTCTTGAAAAATGAATCAATTTTCAGATTCAAGCTCTGGGCGCTTGCTTCAGTCCATACAGAGCTTTATTCAACTTGTATACCATCCCTTCCTGATTCTTTTTCATAAATCCAAGAGGTTGTAACACGTAAATTTCTTCCTGTAATAGACTGTTAAGAAATGCAGACTTCACATCCAGATGCATCAAAGGCCAATTTCTATTTGCAGCTAAAGCAATCACCAGTCTGATTGTTTCATGCCTAGCTACAGGCGCAAACACCTCAAAGTAATCTAGTACAGGTTTCTGAAGAAAACCTCTAGCTACTAGTCTAGCTTTGTGCTTGCCAATTAAACCATCTGGCTTAAGCTTCAACTTAAAAACCCATCTGACACCGATGGCTTTTTTCTTATCTAGAAGCTTAGTCAATTTCCATGTTTTGTTCGTTTCTATTACCTCAAGTTCTTCTTTCATGGCATTCAGCCATTATTTCTTCTTGAGAGCTTCTTCAATGCTCACTTATCCATAATCTACTAAGATGGCACACTGAACGACTTCTCCTTCAGAATCAACTTCATTATCCTACAACATGTCGAAATCTGCAAACCTTCTTATTTTTTGTCTAATTCTTTGTGGTCTTTGAGCTTGTTCTAAAACTGCACCAGAACTACTACCTTCAGAGTTACCACCTTCAGACTTTTCCCTTCTAGAACTATGATCACCGTCAGATTCTGGATCATCATCAGCATCTGGATCAGAATCAGATCCACTGTCAGAATCTCCTTCTAACTCATCTTCAAAATCTTCAGGACTTTCTAAAACATCTCCAGAAGCTAACTCTGGTGTTGGCACTACACCAGAATTTGATTGAGACTTGTTCCAATCCCATGCTTCAAACTCTTTCACCACAACGTCTCTGTTGACTTCAACTTTATTAGTTTCTGGACAATAAAGCTTATACGCACTTGTACTGTGATACCCCACCGACAACATTACTTTGCTTCTACCATCCAATTTTTATCTTCTAGCTTCTGGAACGTGTTTGTAACAGACATAGCCAAACACCTTCAGATGACTGACACTCTGCTTATCTCCAGTCCATTTTTCTAAAGGAATAACTTCCTTCAGCTTCTTTGTTGGACACCTGTTCAGAGTATATGCTGATGTGGCAACAACTTCTCTCCATAACACGTGAGATAGCTTTTTTCTTTCAGCATGCTTCTGGTCATATCAAGCAAAGTTCTGTTTCTTATTTCAGCAAGACCATTGTACTGAGGAGTATATGGAGCAGTAACCTCATGTTCTATTCCATTCTCCTCATAAAACTTCTGGAACTCTGTAGAGTTATACTCACCTCCATCATCCGTTCTCAGAATCTTCAACTTCTGACCACTCTGGTTCTCAACCTTTACTTTGAACTTCTGAAACTCAGTAAACACTTCATGCTTGAACTTGATGAGTGTTACCCATGTCATTCTTGTGAACTCATCCACAAAAGACGCAAACATTTTGTTTCCTTCAAGTGAAGGTACTGGAAATGGTCCACACACATCAGAATGTACTACTCCCAGAGCATGCTTCACTCTAGGGGCTACTTCTGATGCAAATGGCAATTTGGGTTGCTTGCCTTTCATGCATATCTCACATGAATTCTCAGGCTTCACAATATTAGAAATACCATGTACAAGCTTCTTAGAACATAAATGCCCTAAGCTTCTATAGTTCAAATGCCCCAACCTCTTATGCCACAGCTTATTGTCACCTTCAGCGCCTTTTGCCCTAAGACACGTTGCTTCAACTGTTTCTACATTCACCTTAAATGTTTTGTTGCCTCCTTTTTTAAACTTCATAATCAACTTATGATTGGAATCATACAACGTCAAGAGATTGTTTTTCACAACAACTGAGAAACCTTTCTGATCGCGACTTTATGAGTTTGTCGGGATACTAACTGCAAGTATACAGTTCAGTCGTTCTAGTTTTAAAAGATTATCGAACCCACAGAGACTGAGGATCAATCGCATACGATCTAATGCTACAGTTTGTCTAACTAAGCGATGAATATTCGATTTTTGGGGGAAACAGTTTAAGTAAAAATAATAGTACTAGTTATACCGGTATGTGATAATCGGACTTCGGGAATTCGGTGAATTGCTTGGCCTATAAAGTATTTCGGTAAAAGCTAATTGTTTAAAAACCTGAGACATACACTCTCGTGTTTATGAAATAAGTCATGCTACTAAACCTAGTGGATGCACTTTAAATTTAATAATAACACTTTTTGAAAATAATTCGAATTTAATTAATTTATTAAAACACTCTCGTGTATTTAAAAATCAATGTTTCGTTACCACTATCTGGGTTGAACCCCAGCTCTCGCATGCAGGTTCTTGCCTTAATTAATTTCCCACTCTCGTGGAAAAATCGTGTTAATTAACCTCTCACTCTCGTGACAAGGTTAGTTAAATTAATCTTGGAAATTGGAAACCAGAAATTGTTTTATAAATATTTTTGGCCAAGGTATCACTGAATTCTTTTAGTTCTTACGGGTCACATACCAGTATTAATAATTTAGCCGGACATAATTAACTTGGAAGCAATACAATTCAAAATATAATTCATAACAACAATTGGCATAATATAAAAACTGAATAAATATTAATTTCAATAAAAACCTGGAATCAAAGTTGCTATGGTAATCTTGTTCTTCGAAATAAACGAGCATTCCCCCACAAGTCGGTTGGATCTGCTCGAAGACTTCTTGAATTGAAAAGAAAAATTACGACAAGAAATAAAAAAGCACTAGGTCTAACGTAAGGTTAGATCAGTGAAAATTATAGAAACTTAAACTAAAATAAAAACTAAAGAAAGAAACTGAACTAGAAAAGTATGGTAGAAATACAAAACTGAAAAGAAAATATGAAAACAGAAAAATAAAGAAAGACTAAATAACGGTTGTTCGGTAAAATTGCCGACCCTTGCTCTGAAGGTTGAACTTGTATTTATAGGCTTCATTTGTAACTTCCCGTTTCCATGTTGTACGAAGGCTAGTGGAGATCATGGGAATAACTACCAGCATCATGGGAGAACATGGGAATAACTACCAGAATCATGGGAGAACATGGGAATAACTACCAGAATCATGGGAGAACATGGGACACGTCTCCA